ATTGTAGGGTATCCTTTTTGAGTTGTCGAGGTATCGTTCTGTCGTCATGGAAGAATATACCGATGGTCGTTGGGTCGAATTACACCGATGCGCAGGGGGGTGTAGGAATGTATTGCAAGAGCTGGAAGAGAAAAGTAAGATAAGTGTGAAGGGGGAGGAGGAGGAGTCAAAGCTGCAGGAGCGGATGGAGATCAATTTCGGAAAATAATGTGAAGGAAGAGGAGACCGAGTGCGAAGTATTGAAAGGGAACGAGGTAAAAACGTGGAACTCTTTTCTTTCTTTTTTTTTATTATTTCGAACAGTAATTGCATTTTGAAGAATCTCTTCTTTATGCATCATCCGCCATCTTTTTGCAAAATATCTACTCTTTTACTTCTCGCTCTCCTCTCAAGCTTCATGCTCTCTTCAATTCTCTGCCCATTTCTCTCTTCACTCTCACCCTCGGGCTTGTTACTTGTCATCTTTTCTTTCTCTTTTTCCATTTTGTAATAGTTTAATCCATCTGCCCAATTCTTCTGTTTATTCTTGTTTATCCTCTCTCTTCAACATATTTGATTCATTATTTTCTTTCGTTTTTACTTTTTCTTAATCTTCTTATTCCCTACTTTTTCTTGCAGCTTCACCCGCATTTTTATATCCTCCCTCTTTTTATTCGTCCCTTTCTTCTTATCCTTCATTTCTCTTTTTCCTTTCTTTCTCTTGCTACCTTTTACTTTCTCTCTCTCTCTCTCTCGTCTTCACATTCCAGTTAATATTCTCTTTTACTTTGCTCATATTCTCGCTCTCTCTCTCTCTCTCTCTCATCTGCACTCTTTTGCACCTTCTACCTTTCTGCTCCCCCCCCCTCCTCCTCCACATGCACAACGTCGTCATCGCGTCGACCGAGCTGGCTCATCTTTGCAAGCGTTTCGTCAAGTTGTCCAGACCTGCTGCGGCTTGTCCGGAGTGGGAAAGTCGTCCGGATCCGCTGAAAGAGGTACACCGCCTCGCCGTCGGCCAACTGTGCCAATGTTGGAAGCAACCGATTCGCACTTCAAGTTGACCCAATTGCTTTATCTCTCTCTCTCTCTTTCTCTCTCACACACACACACACACATACAGGCCGTGTGGACAGCAGACCATCTTGTGCCCTTTTCCCGGCCCCACTTCATTTAAACTCCTCTTTTCGTGTCTCCATTTCCTCTGCTGGAGCATTGTTTTCACCATTTCAACCTTTGACTATTCACTTGCAACGGGCGCCCATTCGATTGTCCAAACTTCCTCGAGCGTTATGCCGACGCGATTGCAATTGCAATTTGCATCCTCTTGCGTAATATGTGAATGGGACTCGTAGCGACTGGTGTGAATAACTGTGTGCAGGTGTATGTGTGTTTGTGTGTTCATATTTCATTACCGCTTCGATGGAGCCGCTTTCTGCCAGTCTTGACCAGACGAACTCGAGTCTCCGGGGCTTGGGATGAAGTGGAAGAAACGGCACGGCGAATGGACAAGTCTTGCGGGCGAACGAAAGCAAGAGAGAGAGAGAGAGAGAGAAGTGTGTGGGGATCGAGTGGCATTGTTGAGGTTGACGGCCTCTTGTGCTGGTCCAAAGTGTGCCGAGTTGTTGGGCGAGTTGGTCGAGTTGG